TAAATTTAATAAATAAATATTAATCTCTTTTTATTAATCAAATGATAATAATTTTACTTTTTTCTTTTAATTAAATATTATATTTTAAATTATTTGAGAAATTAAATATATGCTTAGTACATTTTCAACAAAAATGTGTTCCAACAAATAATTACTTGAAATCTATTCAAAACTTTACATATCCTTAAAGAAATTTACATATTTTAATACGCTTAACATGTTATTTTCAGTTTTAGTTCATTATTATTTATAAACCAATATGTGTTTTAATTAATAATAATAGATAAGTACTTAGATTTATGTAAAACAATAGTTTATATGCAGGTGTCTACCTAAATAAAATTTAAAAATGTTACACAAACTTGAATTCAGTACTCTGTTCAAGCGCGCAAACAAATATTTTCATTGTATAATGGAAAGATCAGTTTTCTGATCCTTAGCATCCTGAATCCTAAAGTTTACCGTTATAACCTAAGCTAACCCCATCTAGCCGAATAAAATAAACAATCAAAATTTCCTAACCGATTTAAATGGATGGAAAATATAAGAAGAAGCACTGACTAAGCAACACCAAATGAACTGCACGCATTTATCTAGAACACTAGAAACTTAGGAAGCTCGCTGATGACTTTTAGAGATAAATCTGTATCTGTATTATGCTCCATGTGACTTTAGCTTGGAAAAAGTAATAATATATTCCCATTTAAAACACCAAAAACTTAAAACTATTTCGAAACGTTTGTTTAAAAGATATTCCTTAATGATAGATCATGCAACTATGTATACTAAAAAATATACTAAAAAATGATATCAATAGAATGGCTACAAAAAGGTGTAAAAATGTTGATTTGACTCATAGGCTGGGTGTCAACATAATCCAACCAACCCTATGTTCCATTTAATTTCGGATTACTTTATTTTATTTAATAATTTTATGTCTATTCTAGTCTTCAAATGAAGTCAACTTTATGTTAGCCGTTAGCTAACATAATATGTAAAGTTTACATATTCTTCATATTCTGTTCTTCCATGTTAACAGCAATGTTATATATGTTTATATGTATGCATATATGTTAATAATGTATTCTTGCAACATTTTTATATTAAGAACTTTTTTACGAAGCCTTTAAAGCTGGTTTCTGTAGTTTGATCAATTATATTTTAAGATCTAAGATAATTTTTTTTTACAAGATTCCAAAACTTATATCATTAATCATCTTAATTATCTTAGTAACCAAATCAGAAAAAAAAAAGTTAAAATTAATAAGAATTACGACTGAAATCCGCACATGTAGGTGAAAAAGTTAAAAAACTTAATCCCCAAATAAAATAAATGAAAACAAAAACAAAGTAATTATAAAACAAAACAAAAATAACAAATTAAATATAAAAAAAAGAAATAAAAATTATTTAAAAATCAAAATGTTTTACTTTTGCTTTTGAGTAAATCAGATGATCGCATCAGAAACTGGTCAATGCATACTCGTTGTACTGTTATTGTAACTAATTTTGTTGTTGTTAATGTTAATTTCATTATTACTCAGCCAGCGTTCGTCTTGTGGAACGTTGTCTGTTTACTATCTCTGTTGGCTGCTTTTACTGCTTTTAGCTGGCTTGTCTTTACTGTATTTGAACACCTCTCAGCTTTGTTCGAACTTTCAGTTGCGATTTAAATACAAAACGAGGTGGTTGTGTGTTAAGTGTTCTTCCGTAACATTTCGAACGCTGTTAACGAAAATTTCGCTGTTTAAGCTGAATTCGCTGTTGTAGGAATTTAAAGCGTTTAGTGCGTGTATGTGTGTGTGTGTGCAGTTTTTACTCAAAAATCAAAACTAAAAAAATAAGCAACCAACGAGTAGAGCGTCAAGTTCTCATATAAATAAAAAGTAAAAGTGTTTGCCGAACCTAACAAACAAAACGAAAAAAATTAAAATAATAAAAATAAAAATATTAACAATTTTTAAAAGTTTCAACAATTTTCGAACGAGTTACATATTTTTGTGTAATTTTCCGAAAAATAAGTTTTGCAAAATATTTCAATTTAATTAGCGAGTTAAAGTGACAAAATAAATAAGATATTTTTTATATATATGTGCCACATTTGAACTTATCTGTATATATAAAGTTTAAGCAATATATATAAATTTATTTATTTTATATAAAAAATTTTTAGGATTTAGTTGCTTTACGTGCAACAACCCAAAAAATTTAAATAAAAATCACATAAAAATTATTTTCAATTTAAATTGAAAACGTTTCCGGCCACAAAATGTTCAACATGAGAATGAGAAATCAAATCGATAAGGTAGGCGAATTTTGCACCTTCCATAGAATGCTCCCAGCCAAAGCATAAGGCCTGGAGCATGTAAATAAATTCACAGAATTTTGGTTCTGGTAGTATTTTTGACAAAAGTATTTTACTCTCAACTAAGTTAAGTTATAAAAATAAATTGTAAAACGATGTTACGTATATTTGCTATCAATTAAAAATATCTAAACTTGTTGAGTAAGCAATGCCAAATAAATTGAAAGTACATACAAAATACATAAATAAGCAAATCCAAAATTTTTGTTATAATATTTAAACGTAGTGCAGTCCAAATTTATTGCTAACCCAAAGGATACAAAATTGGACATTTAAATTACCAAAAATGTAGTGTCAGGATATTTATTTATTGGCAGATCGAGAATAAGCAAATACATTTTGCTTTCTGTCGAATTTTGTCGAAAAATTCACACATGCCAAAAATATTAAGTTAATTAAAATTTATATTAATATATTTCAGTTGAAAAAACTAAAAGCTTATAAAGAGTATTTTATTAAAAATACTATTTGAATAATTTTACTGGAAATTTTTAAGCTGTTTTTACTTAGTTTTTAAAAAAGAGAAGTAAACAAATGCTATTGGGCATAACAATTAACGTTAATTACATTATTTAGACAAAAACAATAATGATATAGAATAAACAAGTATATTGGATTCTATATATTATATATTATATATATATACTAGATAACCCGACAAACGTTGTTTTGCCTTATAAATTATTTCTAGTTTCTAGATAAATTCAAGTGTAGACAAAAAGTAACTTACTTATTATAAGTGTGTAAGTATGTGGTATATGCATGAAATAGGCATGGAGCGCTATGAACGAAAAGGAAAATAAAAATAAACGCCAAACAATATTATTTTTAAGTTATTATAGTTCATTTATTAAATTATTAATTTAAAATCAATAAATTTGTATGATACCAAGTTCCCTGGCAACAACTGTTGTATCTTCAAATTTAAATTGTCTTGGATTGACTGTAAATAATAATAATGATAATTGGCCAGTAACATTAACCAACAACAGTCGAAGATAAAAGCACTCAGTGTGTCTTGGATTAACTATAAATAAGCGTTCGATTTAAATAAATTGAGACATGCATAAACTGGTGAAACTTGCTTGCGGGGCATCCATTTTTTTTTGAGCCCATGTGAAATAGCGTGGTACTTGTGAATAGAGTAATGTTCTTGCAAAGGCACCAAAATCATCCGTACTATTACACAATTAAAAAAATGCAATGAGTGTAGATTTAGGTGGATTTGTACCACGATCAATCACTGTCTCGTTCGTGAAAAAAATACGCTGACCGTTTTCAAGATGAACGGCTACCTGAACAGCTGCTGGATCCCGTTCATGAATTAGAAAACCGAAGATACGCCAAGCAGCTTCATTGGAGCTGATGTACCGACCAATTTGGTAGAGCGTAATTTCACCGTTTTTGTTCATTGGAGGAGCATTTATATTAGTATTTTCTACTCTAAACACAGCCATATCACTGCCTTTATGGACATACTTATATATTTGATGCTCTTCACAGAACTGCAAAACTCAACATTAATAATGAGCATTGTATGTTTAGCTTAGCAGAGGCGAATACGGCACCACCCGCCATTGTCCCCCATTATCGGGATTTCTTCGACGATATATTGGATATCCGTCGGTATTTGTTATAGTATCATTAGTGAAAGCTTTAGATTTCAATTTTTAGTACATTTTCCATCTGCCATGCAAGGCGAAGACGAAGAACGAAGTGTATGTAAATGCTCGATGTACTTGTTGGCGTAGTTACATAAAATATTAAGAAAAAAATTTTTCTTTTTCAAAAATATAAACAAAATTTATGTCAAAAATAAAAAAATTTTTTGTTAAAGCAATAAGGATATTTTTGCTAGGTTGGGACTCCCTAATCACTTTAGCGGTATGAAAAATAGATAGTAGCCGATTCTCAGACCTACTGAATACGCATATAAAATTTGGTAAAAATCGGTAAAGCTGTTTCGGAGGAGTACGGTAACTAACATTGTGACATGGAAATTTTATATATAAGACCGCAAACAGACATCGTTTGGCCTTGTGACTTATTGATGGTCTTTGCAAATGCCAATCTAATAGGAAATTGAACGTGTTTGAATTAAATTGGCTTGTCTGTGAGAATCATTGGAATTCGTGGCAATAAAACTTTTTCGTTTCGGACCTTGCGATTCAAAATGGTGGCTTCGATAATGTTTTTCATCAATTTTTTAATTACCAATCGCGTACTATTGCATAGCCGTGGTGGGTTCAAATTCCGAAGTAAAATAATCGGTGATCCAACTTTCAGTCGTAAAATGTGTGGTGGGATGCCTGGCAAATCCAGTGAGTTTAAAAATTCTGCTGGATAGTTTACAACTTCGTTGGTATCACAAACTGTATCGATCGATTTGTATGATATTAAGTCGCCTGGCAATGTCTGTTTTATCTTGAAGTTTAATTCATCAACGTCCACGTTTTTTTTGCTGCTAATGGCTTTTTCTGCCAGCCACCCAT